TCCTGGCTTTCTGTGGTCTGGTTCTTTTGTATCTAGAAAATAAATATCTATCCTATGCTTCCTGTGGATATCTTAAATCATAGCTTTTGGTCAATTGTTTTATGCTTTGAGTGATATTTCAGTAAGAAATATAGTGCTGGCAATACTAAGTCTGTTTCTCTCTTTGCTGTATCTGATATCATCTCTACATCTCTTTTCTTCACACATCTGCTAAACCTTTTAGGGAAAAGAATTAATTTAAGAAGCAATCCTATTTAGACAGCATGACATTTTATATCTTTCTTCCTTTCATGTGTTGTACCTTTCAGCCAAAACACAGAATTAAGATTTGTGTTATGAGTTAATCTTTGATTAATTTCTATGCTCATGCTAATCTCCTAATGGTACTCTCATTGCTGGCTGAAAGGAAATGATCACAATATTATGAAAATCAGGGGTGCTAATGAACAAGGGAAGAATTGCCGAAAGACAAAAGGTCTTCTTCCTTTCAAGATACACTTCAGTCTAAGTAAGAGTAAAGAAAACTATTATTATTTATCACTTAACAGGGAGCAAGTAAGTTATGCAAGTAAAGTCATATCATTAAATTTTATTTTTACCCAGAGTACTCGTTCTGAAGTGCTGGTCCAGTACCTGCTAGCAATTGGCTACAGAGCAAGATCATTCATCTTTCTCAAGTTGGGTTTTCCTACCTCCAAGTACAGGTCATAATGAAAACTGCCTTGCAGGGACACAGGAAGAATAAACATTACACATTTTAGTTCCTCTTAGCTTAAAGCATGGCATATAATAGGTGCTCATAAAAGTTAATTATTTTATGTTGTGACACAAGATTTCAGACACAAGATTATGTGCCTAAATAGTAACTCCAGCATGTTAAATTTGACGTTACATTGAGATTTGATCTAGCAAATCTTGATCTAACAAATACTGTTATGGTTACTACTATCAAAACAGATTAAAAATAAAACATAAATATGATAAAGATAATTAATATAAAATATTAATAATACTTATATGTTAATGCAAAATTATCTTGGCAATGGACAAGGATATATATAAGTAGCACATACTGTGTGTAATCTTCCAAACAGCTCTGACTGTAGGCATTAATGCCCAACATTTCATTTGAGGACACTGACTTGGGGACATGGAACAGCAGAACATGTTTCCCAGTGACTCAGGGACAGGACTTCTTTGAGCCACCATCCTGCCCCTTTCACTTGCTCTGGAGGCCACAGGCATGCAGGGATGACAAGACCTAAGAGAACAGTGAGGACCAGAGGATCCCAGATGCTTCAGTGGTTTTCGCCTACTTGGAAGTGGGGAGTAAATATCTGTTTTTTAAGAATCCTGGTGTATCTCATTCCAAGCTCATCAGAGGTTTAAGCTACCAGGGAGAGACATGTGCTAGAAGTGGACCCTCAGTCAAGTGGACACGCATGACCCAGTATCCAGAGAAGGGATGCCAGAGTCACAGAATCACCGACTTTAGGTTCTGGCTCCATGCTTGGTGGAGAAAAACAGAAGCCCAGAGGGCAGTGAGCGGGGCTCAGGTTCACACGATTAAGTGTCAGCATAAGATCCAGGTGCTCCCTCTGTGTCTGTCAGTCAGCTTCCCAGACAAACCCAAGCCTCCTGGCTCCCCAAGCATTTAACATGGGGAACTTCACAAGCAGGGATTCATGGAGAATCCTAACAGCTCTTGGCAAGGGCCCTTCACTGCCTGAACTGAACCTCTCTATTGAGATTTGAATAAAGGCTTGATAATCTAGTCTAAGACAAGGAATTGTGAATTTCACAGGTGAAATGGGAGATCATATGAAATTTCAGTTTTAGAATGCTGGAGCAAGGAAAAATTCTCAGGTTTTTTTTTTTTTTTAATAACCTGTTTATACCTGAACTTGATATACCTTTTTTTCAATTATCTTTTTGTGCAAGCTGCTGTAATATTCAGGAAATTTGGGTTCTTAAACTTTCCACTAGCATATGTAAATGACATTTCTTTAGTAGACTTTCATTTTTAATAAGCTGGAGCTCAGAGAAGCAGCTGAAGTCCACAGACAACAATTAAAGAAATTAGAACAGGAAGGAGTACTTGAATGTGAGACTTCTGGCAGAAACTCGCAGGTATCACTGTCCTTGATACAGCAGCTATGGGGGGAGGAACCATCACCCCCTTTCCAAGGAGGAGACTAAGATTCAGGAACATCACCTCTCTTGTCATCCAGTGAGTCATTGGCAATAAGAGAATCACTTCATGACTCCCAAATCAATACAGTCCCCAAACTCGCAGCTCCTATATCATATCAATAAAGAACTCCCCAAACACACACATTTTTGGGGCTAAAGATCTAAACATTGCAGCCAGAATATAAAGACCACAAATGTTGCTTTAGCTAAGTGCCTATCATTTTTAAATAACAATCTTAGGAATTTAATTGGTGGAATCGATTTTCCAAGGAACATAAAGAAACAAAGCCCATCCTTAATCCGGCTTACATTCCTCTGTTGGCATGGGCTGGCATTCATGCCTTAGGAGAGAACTAGAACTCATGGGAAAAGCCATATGAAAAGGAGAACAAATGGATTTTCTACCATCAAGAAGTAGATAGATTACTCCTCTATGCCGTAATTACTGCTACAAATATCCTGCCAGCAAGTTATGTTTGGGGGGATGAAAACAAAAAGAAATCACTGAATTACCTAAAAACTGACAGTAGTCTCATTGAAGGGTTGTGTGATATTTTTCTGGATTTTAAAGCTGAAGTAAAATGTGTTTTACAAACCATAATGCTATAATAAATAATGTAATATATATGGGCATGTTAGAAAGACCTCCAATTTTTACACTTATAATCAGATTTATCACGTGCACACAAGCACACGCACACACACATACACACACACACACCCCAGAAACTACATAAGAGATATGTTACATTCATGCTCAGTATAATTTTTTTCTTTCATTAGACTGTTTTTTAAATATAATTACTAAAGTCAATTCACAAAGAGAATATGAATGACCAGGATGGTTTTCTGAATTACTCATACTACAAAGCATTTAGAACCTAAGGGACAATATCAACTCAGATCAAGCACTCCTGTGGTTTCCCAGAAAATGAGACAAACTTTGATGTGGAGTGCAGACCCCAGAAGGCACATATCATACCACCAGGGACAAAAGATACAATTCCTCGGCAAAGGATGAAGTCATCCTATTGGAATGGTTTTCCTAGAACATGTGAGTATTCATAGATTTACCTTTTTAAAATTACTTAAAATAAATAGTTTTAAATTCTAGCACCTGAAATATCAATAGATATACAACCAGAAACTGTACACTAAGATTTTTCATGATCTGAAATTAGCTCAGGCTGGTCTGGAGAGAACTGTCTCTATAATCAGTCATCGATTAGAGGTGAGCTACCCCACTGTCTTTGCCAGTGTGAGGAGAAAGAAATCTTTTTTTTTTTTTGAGTTGAAGTCTCACTCTGTCGCCCAGGCTGGAGTGCAGTGGCCCGTTCACAGCAACCGCGGCCTCAACCTGCTGGACTCAGGTGATCCTTCCACTTCAGGCTTCCAAGTAGCTGGAACTACAGGTGCGCACCACTAAACCCAGTTAATTTTTGATTTATTGTAGAGATGAGGTCTTGCCAAATTGCCCAAACTGGTCTCGAATCTGTGGGCTCAGTCTCCCAAAGTGCTGGGATTATAGGTGTGAGCCACTGTGCCAGGCCAAGAAATCTAATTGTTAAGTCTCAATAACAGAAATCTCCTTGGGTCTGGTATAATATCTGACAAAGCACCTCTTCCTCTCCCTGAATTTCCCAAGGCTCTCTGGGCTGTTGGTTTTTGCATCTCACAAAAGCAGGCTTTACCGTAGCACAAAAACAGCACTCAGCCTCAGAGGCCGCAGATGCAAGTGCCGCAGAGGACAACTGGAAAGATCAGCGAGAAAGGACACCAGGTCAGACCTTCTTGTGCTGAGCTTCTCCACCAAAACATTCACCATAGTCCTCTGCATTCACTCTGTGTACCCAGCACCAGAAAAAGTGAGTGAAAAAACACAAGCAGGTGTCAATGCTCAGGCATTCTTACAGAAGAAGCAGGAAGAGCAACAACAGGCCTTTTGAAGAGAGTTTGCACAAGTGGAATTTTATTTGACAGTTTAAAGTGTTAAAAGAAATATGATCTGCTAAGTCAGAAGCAAAACAAAACCATACATTCTCTTTATTCTCACTGCACTGGCATCAACTTGTTCTGACAACAGTTCCATATACTCTCTCAGTCCCCAGAGTGTGTCAGGTCCATCCCAAGGCATCCTATACCTTGGTGTGTGCCTGGCATGGTGATATTATTCTATGTTACAAAACAAAAATAGTTTTTAACCGCAGTTAATCAAGCTGAAGCTTTTGTCATAGCTCAGAAATCAGAACTGAAAACCTGTTGGGGCAGTTTATCCCAAATAGGAATACTAAATTCAAGAAGCCTCAAGGCTACTCTGAATTTCCAGTATTTTCTCCAGACATTTTCATCAACCAGAGAAACTTCTTTGCATGGTTTACAGTACCTAATGCATGCAGCGCATCTGGATTCTGGCCGTGGGTTTACAGAGCATTTAATGTTTGCAGAACACCTAGTGTCTGCCAAGAATCGAATGTTTGCAGAAAATCTACTGTGTGAGAGCATCCAGTGCCTAAAGAGCACCTATTGTGTGGGGAGCATCCAGTGTCTGGACATATCTTGTTTACAGAGAATTTAGCACCCACAGAAAACAAAGTGTTTTCAGAGCACCTACTGTGTGCAGAGCATCTGGTGTTTGCTGTATACCAAGTGTCTGTACAGCATCTAGTATGTGCAGAACACCTAGTGTGTGCAGAGCATTTAGTGTTTGCAGAACAAACAAATGTTGTTTGTCCAGAGCATTTTATTTGTGTTGATTATGGACGCCCAGCTCTGGAATGAGGTCTAGGTGTGAGGAGAAGACGACTCACCACATTGCAGCCTGCACAGTCAGGCCCATTCTCGCAGGTCCGGCGGCGAGCTTGAATGCCGCCCCCGCACTGGGCTGTGCACCGTTCCCAAGGACCCCAGCCCGTCCAGAACATGTGTGGGGGACACAGCAAATGTTCATTGCAGTATCTGTAATGAGGAAACCAAGAGGAGAAGGAAACTGATCAATGCTACTTGAAACCACCAACTTTCCACTCTCCATCCCTGCACCAGATGGTGAATACATGGGCATGCTCTGCGTGGAGGGGCTGTTTGTATTTGGAGCAGTGGCACCATACAGGAGGCGGATGTGGCGCTGGCCATGCTGTGTGTGCACGGACAATGGGATGCACGGCAGACAATGAAGAAAATGCTGAACTCACAATGCAGGATGAATCTTCCTGTGCAGCCAATTAAAGGAGAAACAAAACAAAACAAAACCCTTCAAACAGACACCCAAAAATGAGAGTATACCAAAAGTATCTAGGTAGGGCATTTATCTTCTAACCATAAACACTGAATGATAAAGCAGGTTTCCAATACAAAGTCAGCTTTGTTTGAAATCATTTCTCATTCTTCAGTCAAATAAACTCATGATTATATTAGGATAAGTTAAAGATAAGTTAAAGTCTGAGAATGGCATGAAGTCTAATGCTGTTGACTTCTTAGGTTATAGTATTTTAAATTTTATTTCTAGGCTTTCAGAATGAAGCAAACCCATCTTGATTTAAAAGACCACCAGTTATTTAAAAAGAATTGAATCATACAGTTTTACAGATATTAGTGCTATTCTTTAGAGATTGAATATACTTCTATATTTCAACGTTACCCATTTCGCTCATTTTAGACTGAATCCCCAAAGCCTCTTTTAGCCCTGTGATGAGTCAGATTTCTTTTCAATCTTTAACACTGCAATTGAATTGAAGTGGAGTCAGGAAACTAAGACAAAAAATCAAGAAGGAAACAATCCGACATTTTAGAGGTTACAGATCATAGGAAGGAAGAAGTTACTCTGAACGTCATCAGATGACTGAGACACACTTGGTGATTTAAAGGACTATTTGAAATCAGTAGTCCATCTATTGCTTCAAATTTACCTTCTAGAGAATACTAGAATGCAAGACTTTTTCTCACACCTTCCTCACTTGCAAGGCCATCTGCTTTAAGGACAGGAGGCAAAGGCTCCTATCTGCTGGTGTAAGTCAGATACCTTTATTGTCATCATTATTTATAAATGCTTAATCCTGCTGGGAACTCTGGAAAGGTAATTACAGGGGGTACCCCGATCACAGGTATTTTCAGCCTAAGATGAACACAGGGAAATAGACACAGCTCAGAATGCATAGGACACAAAACTATGTTAATATACAACGGTATTGCTGTACCTCATGCATGCCAAAGGAAATGTGTTTCTGGAGTAGAAAATAAGAGCAAATGTTAGGAAAAGGAATTTGAGGTGTGTGGTTTCCTGACAGCAAATGCTGGTAAGATGAAACTGTCTTTCCATCAAACCATAAAAGCTTCATGGAGAATGTGAGGGCTTCATGAGCAGGAACACCGTGCAAAGCAGAAAATAAGGCCCACTAAAAAGTACCCTCAGGATGAGGCACACTGAACATCTGCCAGCGTTTTGGAAAAGAATGGAAGGTAGAGATGGGAAGCAAGACATAGGAAAGGTCACTGAGATGAAACAGCAGAAAAAGGAGACGGAGTAGAATGCTCTATCATCATGAAATAAGGTGGACTTGAACTTTATTTATAAGAAACCAAGAAAGTTCCACGAAGCTCCAGAGACAAAATAACAGAGTCAGAGCTAGAGTGAAGACTTGACTCTGAGGAAGACTTGATTCCATCATCCTGATGGAGCCCTGGAGCCCCTGGGATTTGAGGAACTTGTCTTGTTTCAGTATGAGGTCTGCACTGCCCAGGATGGGGCAAGGGACCACAAATAGGAAAAGTCAGTGGAGAAAACACCCGCCAGCGGTAGCTGAATCACAGCACTCCAAAGGAGAGCTATTCTAAGCTGAATAAATATGACAGTGTCGGAAAGAGGAAGAGGAAGGGATGGAGATTCGGTTTGGGATACAGGAAATACAATCTGGCAACTGTATGAATGTACAGAAGACAAATGAGCTGTGAAGTCCAATGTCAGCCTCTCAGTGGAAAGTGGGAGATTATATTCCTCATTCTTACTTTCAGAAAGAGATAGTATGGAGGGGCTAAAGGATCCTTCAGAGTCAAGAACCAACAGGTAAAGTGTCTACTTGCTCTGGACTTTTACATGTAAGAGTAGCCAAGGGAACTTCATTGTTATCACTTTTCTTCATCCTTTCAATGTTTAAGATAACAGGAAAATGTTGGTTTTTCTTCTCTCTTGGTCCCCAGGGCCCAAATCTCAGAGCTCAGGGCCACAGGACATTCTTGCTTGTGTTAGGAACAGGGAAGAGACCTTCTAATCAAGAGAGCATGACCTTTAGATAGAAGAGCCAAGACAAATGCCAGGATACAACAGATGAAAAGAATTGGACCTTAGAAGTATGTGAAAATGTGTAGAGTTACAACAAGTAAATATTCACATATGTGCTGGTGCATGGATTATTCCAGGGGGAAATTGCTGTTTGTTTTGAGACAACATTTGAATAAGTCAAGAAGACAAAGGATATCAGAATTCGCAGCATTTAATTAAAAATATTCCTGTATAACTCACTGTGGGTAGAATAAGAAGGTCATCTCTGTTTCCAAGCTGATTCGCCAGCATATAAAAAGGTACGGACTTTCTAGACAACTTGACCCTGATTTTAGCTTTCAAACCCCAAAACAAATAAGCAGAAGGAGGGTAGGAAGGGTAAAGAAAAGCTTTACTAAAAATGCTTATAAGACTCTTGATTTTCAATAAAAAGCACAACTGAGCTACCATTTCCTCATAGCAAAATCAACCCCAGGGCACAAATACTCCTTCCTATTTGTCTGAGGCAGACCATCTCTACAAATGCTCAGCACGTTATTCTAGTTAAAAATCTCCAGCAGGGTAACCTGTGCATGCAGCACAGAGCTTTCGACCAGATCCAATAAAATGTCTATTGGATACATTTTAAGGTCATCAATAACTTGTCTTCCCTTTTTCTTTTTACAATAGTCTGTGAAACAAGCTACACCAGTATCTGTTAAGGTGTCCCCCCTGTGAAATTGTAGCATCTCTCACAAAAGAGGTCAGAGGAAAATAGAAATTGCTAGGCCAGCTTTGTGCCTTTGTGTATGGGTTTTCACTAAGGGATTCACCCTGGAGGAGACTGCTCACAAGTAAAGCCCGCCAGGCTCAGTGGCTCAGCCTGTCATCCCAGCACTTTGGGTGGCTGAGATGAGTGGATTGCCTACGGGTTCGAGACCAGCCCAGGCAACTGGTGAGACCTCGTCTCTACAATAAATCAAAAATTAGCTGGGCTCGGTGGTTCAGCCTATAATCCTGCACCTTGGGAAGCTTAGGTGAGTGGATTGCCTGAGCCCACGGGTTTGAGACCCGCCTGGGCAACTTGGTGAGACCCCATCTCTACAATAAATAAAAAAAAAAATTAGCCGGGTGTGGAAGCACACGCCTGTAGTTCCAGCTACTTGGAAGGCTGAGGCGGAAGGATGGCTGGAGCCCAGCAGGTCGAGGCTGCGGTGGCCGGGAGCGGCCACGGCACTCCAGTCTGGGCGACGCAGTGAGACTCCAACTCACAAAAAAAAAAATTAGCCAGATGTGGTAGTGCGCGCCTGTAGTTCCAGCTACTTGGAAGGTTGAGGTAGAAGGATCGCCGGAGCCCAGCAGGTCAATGTTGGAAACCATGAGGGTGCCACTGCACTCTAACCTGGGCAGCAAAGTGAGATGTGAGATCCTAACTAAAAAAAAAACAAAAAAGAAAAGCAAGTAAAGCCTTTGTTAAAGGACTCTTTCAGTCTGGGTCCTCAACAACCGTGAGAAGGCATTTCCCTTGGACCCTCGCCCTATTCCCACCCCAACTAGCTCGTGCTCCTGAAAAAAGCTCCTATTTTTAAGCTATGCAAACAACAATGGGGATGGAAGTCAGTTATCTTGGTGGCTATGCCTGTTAAGAATTTTTATGAATGTATGGATAAAATATCTACCGAATGGGCCAGCAGTTGGTTCATCCTTTCTCTAGTACGCCACACACTGCTGGCTTTTACCAAAAAGCAGGCTAAATGTTTCTGAAATTATATTGGGTCTTTGGTGTCTTAGAGCACTGAAAGTCACTGATGCATTTTATGATGCATTAAAAATTAAGATTTTAATTTTGCCCATGGCTGCTGATTCTCATTTTGCATTTAAAAGCCAATTAATTACACAGCATTGTCTCCCCATAAATTATCCATTTTTCCATAAACCTAGTCTTTATGAAAATAATGACCTTTCATAATCCCATATAGATTAGATTTCTAATACTATGCCATGTTTCTGTTCATATTTCTTTATGCTATAAATGATGCTCCATTTCTGGGTAGGTTCATGCTAGCTTTTCACTGCAGCCTCTGTTAGCCTGAACCAATTAGAGCCCCTTCAGAACTGTCTCTTCCTTGCTTCACTTTAAGTAATCATTCCTTTACTTGGTCATACTGCTATAATTAAATATTTTATGGCACCAGAAAAACTATATGTATATTAAGTCTATTATAATATTTAAGTCAACCCATTATGGGAGAGTAATAACTTACAAAGAACATCTCTGGCTAGCCACTGGATTCAGCAAATATACCCATGAAGACAAAGAACAATCATATAAAAAATACCTATTGATTCCTGAGCCCCTTAACTTTGGTAATGCATTGGACAGTCTCTAATGTGGCCCCCAAGATCCCCACCTCCTGGGATTCACACCTCATGTAATCTCCTTCTACTGAGTGAGGATGGGAACTGTCACTTGCTTCTAGCCAACAGAATATGTCAAAGATGATAGGATGTCACTTCTGTGATTAATTATGTGACATGAGATTGTAATGCCCTTATTTCAAGAAACCTCTCTCTTGTTGCTTTGAGGAGGCAAGGAAAGAGGTAAGAAAGACCCAGGTGTCAAGGAATTAAGGGCCGCTTCCAGCTGAGAGCCAGCAAGAATCTGAGGACATTAATCTGATATCCCACAGGAAACTGAAGGCTA